TTAGTGAGACTGTAATAAGGTTTCATAAGAGTAGCTAATTCTTTTGTTTTTGCTATTTTATCACTTTCTCTCTTTTTCTTTGTTAATCTTTACCTGAGGATATTTTTCCATTATTATTATTATTTTTTTAAAGAGAGTGGAAGAGAGAGGAAGATATACACAGAGAGAAATATTGATGTGAGACACATCGATTGGTTGCCTCCTGCACATGTCCTGACTAGGGCCGGGGATTGAGCTTGCAACCAAGATACATGCCCTTGACTGGAATCAAACCCGGCACCCTTTAGTCTGTAGGCCAACGCTATATCCACTGAGCCAAACTGGCCAGAGCTATCACTTCTCTTAGTGTATTTTTCATTATTGACATTTCTTTTCTATTCTCTTTGCTAATATAATATGAATCCTATGCCTATTCTTCATGGCCATTCTCATTGCAAATTTCTTTTTTCATGCACTGCCAAGAAGTACAGTAAGAGCTTTGTGAATAGAGAAATACTTATTTTTCTGTTTTTCACACTTAATTTATTTCCCTGTCCTTTTTTCCTAAAGAAGCTTTGGGCATTTTTCTCTCTCTCTCCTACTCAAGATAGTGAAAGCTCTAATATACTGCTTTGCTAGACCTGTTTTTTAAATGTGTTCTAGGCTTAGGATGTCAAAATCTAGTATATCTTCTGTGGTCTCTTCTTCTAGGCAAAGTGGTTCAAACCACAAATGACCTAATAAGTAAAAGTAGTCATGTAGCAATAGTAGAGGACATTTTATCTCACTGAGCAGATCTGTATCTCCCTTGATGGGGATGTTTTTCAGCTAAGTCATTTCCCAGGGAAGTGTGCATTTAATGGCCAAAGAGGTCAGATGCATCTTCATGTATCGGGAGATGGTATTTTAATTGAAAAGGACTGGTTGGCCTGTCTTTACTATGCATTTAACAATTAGGTTGAATCAATTGAAATGAATTCAAATTGGTAAGAGATGTTTGCCAGTTTATATGCTTTCATGAATTTTTTGGTATGTGTGTATAGATAATAGCCTTTAACTTGCAGAGAGCTAAAGAGAAATGATTGAATTACAAAAGCTTTTTTTTTTTTTTTAAATGAAGCAACTGAAGCTTTTTGTTTTTGTGCTAGAACAAGGACTTAAAAGGAATACTTAACCAATAAATGGAATGTTGTGTATCTTTTTTATTTATTAGTGTTTGATCTCTGAAGAAAATGCATCCCAAACTACATAATGATCATTTTGTTTTCTATTATGTTGTTATTATTCTATTTATATTTTGAGGAGCTCAAAAGTGAGCACAGGATTTTGTACTGTTGATCAAATTACTTCATAGCAAGAGGCATCTTTCAGTAGCTGTATGACGCTGAAGCTCTAATTTTTTTCTCTGTTCATCAAATCTCAATTTAAATATCCCTTTAGACCTATCTTTCCTATAAATAAAAGAACATTTCATGATTTTTAGTTTCTATAAATCTATATACTCTGAGGAACAGAGTAATTATTATCCCTTTAAAAAAGGATGCATTTTTTAAAAACTTTTGTTTGTCTTTTGATAGAAGACTTTTCTAGTGAGATTGGTTAATGATATTAATGAATGTGATTTTTTTTGATAGTGTAAATGAAACGTTAACATTTGGAAGATCTGCATAATTCAGTGAATCAGTATTTTCTAAGTAATCAATGCTTAACGGTAAAAAATCATACAAGAGCAAAAGATCCATTTAAAGTCTACATGAAATAAGTCAGACAGAGAAAGACAAACATATGATTTCACTTATATGAAAAAACCAAAATAAATTTAGAAACATAGAGAACAAACTGATGGATGGGGGAATGGGTGAAAAAAAAAAATGAAGAGCTTAAGAAGTACAAATTGCCAGCTATAAAAACAGTCAGGGAATGTGAAGTACAGCATAGGGAATATATAGTCAATAATATTGTAATAACTATGTATGGTATCAGATAGGTACTAGATTTGTCGGGTTGATCACTTTGGAAGTTATGTAAATGCATAATCACTATGTTGTACAACTGAAACTAATACAATATTGTATGTCAACTCTAATTGAAAAATTTAAAAGTGCAGGATAGACAAATGGAATTTAATGTAAGAACATGAAATGTTTATTAATATACCTTCGGATTTCACATTGCAGCTAACCTTTAAGAAACTACTACTATTGAGTTTTGGTATAGTATCAAATAAGAATATCCAGAATTATTTGAAAAGCTATTAAAAATACTTCTTTCAATGTACAGTTGAGTGAAGCTGGATTTTCTTTATATACTTCAGCCAAAACAACATATTGTAACATTGAATTTTTAAAAGCATATAGGGAAGTCCAGCTTTTTAAAAAGCCAGACATAGAGATTTGCAAAAATATAAAACAATGTCATGCTTCTCACTATTTTTTCAGGAAATATATTTATTTCATTTAAATGTTTTTATATTAATATGTAGTAGCATTTTTAAAAAAATGAATTAATAATTAAAAAAAATTAATTTCTCAGTTTTCATTTTACTATAGTAAATTTAATTACATAATTCATATATACAGAAACCAGGATCCTTAATACTAATTTTTAAGACTGTCAAAAGTACCTGAGACCAAACTGTGTAAGAACACCTGGTGTAGTGCTTAAAGAGGAACACGGAGTCAAATTGCTTGTCAGAAACTCAGCTTTATTGTTTGATAGCTCTGTGACCTTGGATAAGATATTGAACTACTTTTTGCCGCACTTTCCTCATCTATAAAATGACATAATGATATGTAGAGGTGTGGCAGGTGTTCTTCCATGCTGCTACCAAGGAAAATGTCAGTTTGTTTTCTCTAATCACCCAGCCCCAGCTTCGAAGTTCATGCCTTCAATCCCTCCTTGTTGTTATCTATAGACCTTTTCGAAGATTTAAACACATGGCTTGTTGTTACTCTGCATTCTTGTGCTTGCCATAGTTTCAGGTGATTTAATGTTCATATAAATAACACTTTCAACAGCCTGGCCTCTCAGTCAGTCCCTGACTTCTTTTCCTTCAGTGATCTTGTCCTCCTCTCTACCTTAGCCAGGTGCACTCTTAGCCAGATCTTGTTAATACCAGTTATAGATCACCTCCATCAACTCAGTTTCACATGTCTCATTCTCTGACCATACCTCCTGTCTTTCCAATTCATTCTTTTTAGTATATCAGCTCCAACTTTTTTTAAAAATTTTTTTTAAATTTTTTTTTTTAAGCTCACTAGGACTATAGGTCCTACCACCCTTTCACTAACTCTCATTTCCATTATGAACTTACTTGGCTTTTTCCTGATTTAAAGTGCATGGTTTATAATTACAATAATTGTTTTGCAAACTTTCTAAGATCTCTTGCCCGTCTTTCTGTCTATTCTACTTGTCTGGCAAAATATCAACCTTAGTTAAACTCAAATTCCTCCCATTGCACATTGCACCCAGACAGTGGAATTTATGCTAAATGGTCTCACTTAATAATCATGCTTCCAACCTCAGTGGAGCTTTTAGCGCTATGTGGAATTCCTCTTAATTTCCTCAGTCCATTTATTTTTCTGAATGATTCTTCTAAATGACTATTTCACACTTCTCAAACTTTTAATATCCATCCTTCTTTCTCAATCTCAGCTGATAACCTTCCTTCCTGCTTCAGGAGATAATATCAGCTCTCCGAAGAGAACCACCACAAGCTCCTCTCACCACATGGAATGGTCTGCCTGCATTCCTACTCATCTAGTTTGACTTTTCTCCTTTCCCTTTGGGTGGATTCTCTGCTTATTTCCAAGGCCAACACTCTATGAGATTCCATGGTTAGCTCCACATTTACTGTGTTCTTTCCTGGGATTCTGCTTCCCCACCTTACATCATCACGTTTACCTCCTCTCGACACCGACGTTCCATTAGGCTACAAGTATCCATGCAAAACTTTTTCTTGAAACCCACACTCCCCTCTTGTTACCAGACTGAATTATCAGTGTAGCTGTCCGCTATTGCATTCTGCCCATTCTCTGTTAAACCCTAGCAATCAAGCTCTACTTCACCAAACACTTGTTGAGGACAGGATTGACCTGAGTGGCGCGAGACCCAGCAGTCAGTTCTCAGGTCTCGTCTTACTTCTCAACAACATTTGACACAGTCTGGATGCTTCTTTCTCTTGAAGAACTTCCTTCATTAGGCTTCTGGGATGCATGCTCTATTTTTCTGAGTAGCATTTATCACCATCTGACATATTTCCTTATTTGTTTATTTTGGCAACTAAAATGTAAGCTCCTTGAGAGCAAGGGTTTGGCTTGTCTCATCTCTGCCAAGAACAGTGGTGCATACATAATAGGCACTTGGTAAATAGTTGTTGAATGAATGAAAGTGAGCTTAAAAATAGTGTATACTTATCAGCTTTTCCCTCATTTCTAGCTCCTTTCCTGGTCATAAGCTCTCATAGCCATTTTCTTCCTCTTTTTTTCTCGGAATCTTACATTTCCTAATTGTATCTCTACTCCATTCCTATCTTTTTCAGGCTGAACCATTACCATTATGCTTATATTTCTGTGGGGTTCTAGTGTTTACAGAACATTTATTTATATTTGGTATCACAGATGGTGTGTGGATCTGAATTGGTGCCATTAGCATATAATGCTGAATTTAGGTGCAGATTAAAAAAAATTATAAATGAGTAAGAAACAAATTAAGTCTTCAGAGCTAAAATTATATCTTCTAGGATATTTAGGTTTATTGTTTATTACTACCCTGCTTTACACTTTACTATTTCTGGCTACTCATGATGGAATTTCTCTTGATTTTCTGCGAGGATTTTTAGAAGGCAGGAGAAATTGCCAAGCTGAAAAGCGTTTTCTAACTTCAGCTCTGAGTTTATCACTAAGAGTAGTATGCTTCTCTTAGCATTTCATCATTCTTCCCCTATATATCGATGTGCTACTGTATGCTGGATTTGCATGAAAATTCATTTTTAACTGGCCTTTTATTTATGGTTTCTACAGAACCTTGCCTCCTGGAACCCTTCAAACCCCGAATGCCTCTTGCTTGTGGTGAAGGAACTTGTGCAGCAATATCACCAATTTCAGTGCGGCCGCCTCCGCGAGAGCTCCCGCCTCATGTTCGAATACCAGACATTGCTGGAAGAGCCGCAGTATGGAGAGAACATGGAAATTTATGCTGGGAAAAAAAATAACTGGGTAAGTTTTTTGGGAATGGGGAAAAATATAAATCTGTAATAACATAAAATATCAATTCGGATATCTCTCTATATAAAAGCCAAGTGACCAGAACAACTGGTCACTGTGACACGCACTGCTGATGGCCAACCAGTTTGATGATGGTGGGGCTGGCTGGCCAACCTTCTATGGCCCTTCCTCCTGGCCAGCCCTGACTGGCCCCAATTAGGGTGGGCTGGCTGGACCCCACCCGCGCACAAATTCATCTAGTTATAATAAACCCTAGCCATTTCTTTAGATAGACATGGTTCAGATTGTTTACATAAGTTCTCATAATTTAGAATTTAAAGGGACCTTGATTATCTGATTCATTGTTTCTCAGAGTTATCACCTGGGAAATTTGTAAAACTGGGAGTCTCACATTCCCAGCCCCAAGTATTCAGAAACCAGGTTTTGATGCAGGTGGTTCATAGGCCACATTTTGAGACACTGGCAAATTTTCCTTTCTTTCTTTCTTTCTTTTCTTTCTTTCTTTTCTTTCTTTTCTTTCTTTCTTTCTTTCTTTCTTTCTTTCTTTCTTTCTTTCTTTCTTTCTTTCTTTCTTTCTTTCTTTTCTTTCTTTTCTTTCTTTTCTTTCTTTTCTTTCTTTTCTTTCTTTTCCTTCCTTCCTTCCTTCCTTCCTTCCTTCCTTCCTTCCTTCCTTCCTTCCTTCCTTCCTTCCTTCCTTCCTTCCTTCCTTCCTTCCTTTCTTCTCTCTCTCTCTCTCTCTCTCTCTCTCTCTCTCTCTCTCTCTCTCTCTCTCTCTCTCTCTCTCTCTCTTTCCTTCCTTCCTTCCTTCCTTCCTTCCTTCCTTCCTTCCTTCCTTCCTTCCTTCCTTCCTTCCTTCCTTCCTTCCTTTCTTCTTTTCTTCCTTCCTTTTCTCCCTCCCTCCCTCCCTCCCTCCCTCCCTCCCTCCCTCCCTCCCTCCCCCCCCTCTCTCTTTCTCTCTTTCTCTCTTTCTCTCTTTCTCTCTTTCTCTCTTTCTCTCTTTCTCTCTTTCTTCTCTTTCTCTCTTTCTTTCTTTCTTTCTTTCTTTCTTTCTTTCTTTCTTTCTTTCTTTCTTCTTTCTTTCTTTCTTTCTCTCTCTCTCTCTCTCTCTCTCTCTCTCTCTCTCTCTCTCTCTCTTTCTTTCTTTCTTTCTTTCTTTCTTTCTTTCTTTCTTTCTTTCTTTCTTTCTTATCTTTATTGTTGAAAGGATTACATATGACCCCTTCCCCCCCTCCATTTACCTCATCCAGGCCATGCCCCCCACCCTAGGCCTTCACCACCTTATTGTCTGTGTCCAGATCTCCTTTAGTATCCCAGTCAGATATGAGAGGTTAACTCTGGAGATAGCTAGTTTTTATGGATCTTCTTATAATTTCTTTTTATAGTTTATGTTATATGATCCTTTCTTTAAAAAAATATTTTTATTGATTTCAGAGAGAGGAAGGGAGAGGGAGAGAGAGAAAAAAATGTCAGTGATGAGAGAGAATCATTGCTTGGTTGCCTTCTGCACGCCCCCTACTAGAGATCAAGCTTGCATGTACCCTGACCAGGAATTGAACCATGACCTCCTGGTTCATGGGTTGACACTTAACCACTGAACCACACTGGCCAGGCTTGTATAATCCTTTTGAAATGCAAGTCAGATCATATCATTCCTCAGCCTAGAACTTTCATACTGGTATAACTTTCTTTGACTCTCATGTTAAAAGCCAGTGGCATAAAATGTTCTACATGATTTCTATCACCACCATTCTTTATTCATCATTAATTCCCTCATTTCATCTCCTACCTTCCTATTAAAAATATTCAGCTCTAGCCACACCTTTGCTGAGCTGCAGACACACCAAGTTGCTTGTGCTGTAGGCTTTGTGTATATATATACAGCTTTCCTGTTGTATGTGTAGTTCCCCTAAATATTTGCATGCCTAATACCCTTCCTTATAGTTTTTACTCATTTGTCATAGTCTCAGCCATGCCTGTGTTAACATGCATGGTTTTCTTAAGTAACTTTTTTGAGGTATAATTTATATATCATAAATTTACTTGTATTAAGTATACAATGCAATGATTTTTAACACATTTGCTGAGTTGAGCAATCACAAACACAATCCAGTTTTTTTTTTTTAATGATTTCATCATTCTGTAAGGTTTCTCATGCCATTTACAGCTAATCCTATCCCTATCTCCAGACCTGGGCAACCACTAAACTAGTTTCTACTGTATAGATGTTCTTTCTTGAACATTCATATAATCAAATCATATAATATGTAGTTTTTGTAACTGGCTTCTTTCTCTTAATACCTTGTGGTTCATCCATGTTGTAGCATGTCTTAGCATTTTGTTTCTTTTTGTGGTTGACTAATACTCCATTGAATAGACATGCCACATTTTGTTTATCCATTCACCAACCGATGGACATTTGGGTTTTAACGTTTTAACTGTTAAGAATAATGCTGTAAACATTCACTTGCAAGTCTTTGTAACACCTCTTTTTAAAAGGGTAATTCGTATCCCTTCACCTGTACCCTGCTCTACGTTTTTGCATCTCTTTTTAACATACCATATAATTAATATGTTGTATTAGTTATATGTTGCTGCATTAGATAATTATTCTTGAAACTAGTGGTTTAAAACAATTTTTATTTTTATTTTTTCCATGTTAGTATTTTATTATTTATTATTATTTTAAAATTTATTCTTATTGTTAAAAGCATTACAGATGTCCCCCTTTTCCTACCAGTGAACCCCCCTTCCTGCCACACCTTCACTGCATTGTTGTCTATGTCCATGGGTTATGCATATAAATTCTTCTGTTAATCTCTGCCTGCCCCTCCCACTTCCCTCTGGGATAAAACAACATTGATTATCATAGTTTTTGTTTGTCAGTAGTAGACTATGTAGACTCTCTGCTTAGTCTCTCATAAACTGCACTCAAGGCATTGGCCAGGGCTGCAGTCATCTTAGGACTCACCTGGAGATTAATCCATTCTCAGCTCATTCATGAGGCTGTTGGTACCATTCAGTTCAATGCTGGCTGTTGGCTGCCTCAGCTCCTTGCCTCTTCTCAGGGCCTCTCCCCAGGGCAGCTGGTTTCATCAGAGCAGTCAGTCAGTCAGGAGAGCGAGAGTGTGGACAAGACAGAGTCACTTTCTTTCTAACCTAATCTCAGAAGAGACATCTCATCTTTGCTGTATTCTGTTTGTTAAGTCCAGTCTACATACAGGGAGGAATGACATAAGAATGCGACTATCAGGGACTATTAGAAGCCACCTAGAAGCAGCCTACACACTTACTTACGTTTATTGCTTGTCTGTCTCTTAGACTGGGATATGAATTCCATGGAGGCAGGGATCCTTATTCTGTTCGTCCTATATCTGTTCATCCTATCTATGTCTTTTGAATGGAGAATTTAGTCCATTTACGTATAAAGTATTTGTGGAGCCCTGCTGGCATGGCTCAGTGGTTGATGCCAACCTATGTGGTTGATGCCAACCTATGAACCAGGATATCACGGTTTGATTCTCAGTCAGGGTACATGCCCAGATTGTAGGTTCAATCCCCAGAGAAGGGGCATGCAGGAGGCAGACAATCAATGATTTTTCTCTCATCATTGATGTTTCTATCTCTTCCTCTCCCTTTCTCTCTGAAATCAATTAAAATATTAAAAAAGTATTTGTTGATAGGTATGTATTTATTGCCATTTTTATTGTTTTCATACTAGTTTTATAAATGGTTAGTCTACTACTTTTTCGATATGCTTGCCTTTACTAGTGAGAGTTTTTCTTTCATATATTTTCTTATTTCTAGTTTGCCTTTTCCACTTAAAGAATTTCCTTTTTAAAAGAAATATATTTTTATTGATTTCAGAGAGGAAGGAAGAGGGATAGAGAGAAACACTGATGAGAGAAGAATATCATCGATTGCCTGACTCCTGTAGGCCCCCTATTGGGGATCGAGCTTATAATCCAGGCATGTGCCCTGACTGGAATCGAACTGTGACCTCTTGGTTCATAGGTCAACGCTCAACCACTCAGTCACATCAGCTGGGCATAACATTTCTTGTGATTCTGATATCATGGTGACGAACTTGAGCTTTTGCTTGTCTGGGAAATTCTTGATCTCCTTCAGTTCTGAATGATAACCTTGCCAGATAGAGTTTACTTCACTGTAGGCATTTACCCTTTCATCATGCTGACTATATCATTTATATTTTACTCATAATATTTGCAGTGTCTTCATAGGTCCTGACACATTTTAGGCTCTTAATCTATAGCAATGAATGGATGAATACATCTTGAACCTTAGGTTGAGCTCTGACTATTATTCTCTCAATTATTGTAGACAAGTTTTTGGACTATTCCAAGCCTCAGTTTTCTCATTTCTAAAATAGGTATAAATGAATTAGATCTACTGAACTGGGTTTGGAGAATAATTAAACAGTATTAGAACTTAGAACAATCTTAGAACACCTTTTTTTGCAAAGTATGAGATGTTCTAATTAGCCTAACTTTGGCTTTCCTTTTTACATGCAGTAGATAATTATGCATTTGCCAAGGAACAATCTCCAGACTTAGCCGATTGGTTGCCAGAGTCCATTTGAAGAATCACCTTTACCAGGCTATCACCCAGCTGAAATTACAGCCATTCTTGAGTATTTCTTAGCTTTTAGCTGTCTAAGTGGTAAGAGCAACTAATTTCAGATAAAAGCTTGTTGACAGGGAACGGTCTCTAAGAAAGTAAAATTCCCCTTTGCAGAGCAACCTGGATTTGGAATCCATTCTGCATAAGATGTTTACCTGTCACTTCCAAAAGGGGGAGGGAACTATGACACAGCTGCTGTTCCCAGGAGAAAAGCTTAGACATAATACATTGTTACTTACCAATGTACTATAACTTGAAAGAAAGAAGGATGCATGTACTTATTGCTAATGCTGGGGAATTGCCATTAAGGCAGTTGGCAGAATGGCTGACATTTTAACAGTCATAGGTCAGATAATTTTCTACATCTATCCAAGAGAGGATTTGACCAAGGATTGAAAAAAAAATCAAATTATTCTGTTCACTTGGCTGCATCTAAATGTCTCATTTTCAGCTTACAGGAAAGATTGCTATGGAAGCAGTCTGACATTACCACAGAGTGACCATAAATGCTTGAGTAACTTGGAACTTCAAATGTAAAAACACGGGAAAAGTCACTGTCGGAGGTAGAACTCAGAAAGGATTTCTGACTTATGTTTTGCTCCTCATATCATGCTTATAATTGAATTTTTATAGTAAGATATGTTTTAAATCACTATTAACTCACTTTCCCAGAGGAAGATTACCTTACAGCTCACAAGGAAAATCAGGGTCGAACTGAAAACAGAATTCTTGCCTAGTTTCTGATGTTTCCAATGCTGTTAGAAACAAGTGCTGTTTTATTTAGTCTCTCAACATCAAAATAAAGAATGTATAGTAGGCTTGAAAGTTGGAGATCATAAAGTACTCTTTATGGTTTCTGTTAGATTAAATTCTGTTCACAGCATTAAGATTCATTTATTATGAATTTAGTTGTATAAATCGGCCTGTTGCCAATAAACATACGTTTATACTAGTTCTAGGATCAACGTTTTGAGAAGGGATAATGAAAGGATAATCTGAGCATTTAAAAAATATATTTTTATTGATTTTTGAGAGGAAGGGAGAAGGAGAAATAACAAGGAGAGAGAATCTTTGATCGGCTGTCTCCGGCACATCCCACTCTGGGCATCGAGCCTGCAACCCGGGCATGTGCCCTGACCGGAATCAAACCATGACCTTCTGGCTCATAGGATGATGCTCAAACTCTGAGCCATGCCGGCCAGGCTCATCTGAGCATTTTTATTTAAAAAAAAAATACATTTTATTGATTTTGTACAGAGAGGAAAGGAGAGAGACAGAGAGCCAGAAACATCGACGAGAGAGAGTCATCGATCAGCTGCCTCTTGCACACCCCCTACTGGGGATATGCCCGCAACCAAGGTACATGCCCCTGACCGGAATCGAACCCGGGTCCCTTCAGTCCCCAAGCTGACGCTCCATCCACTGAGCCAAACCAGTCCCGGCTCATCTGAGCATTTTTAAAAGAATGTTGGTCTGAAATAGCTGGTAGAATAAAAATGTATTGTACAAACTAAAAAAGGGCAAAAGAACTAAAGCCCTGTTTATGTACTAAAATAACAAGCAGTTCAAATGAGTCCAAGTGCTAAATATGCAGTTATTTTCCTGATTACCTTATATGTACAAGAGTCTTTTAATTTTTTAAATCCCACATTTCACTCCTTTTGTTATTTAAAAATATAAGATCCATTGAATCTAAGAAATGCAAAGTTTTGAGTTTGCCATCTTAACTTAGAGATTCACATTTTAGACTAGTGGTTAGGAGTGGCTACTTATAACTTGGTAGGTTGTTTGTCTCTAAAATTTGAAAATGATTAAGAAATGAATGGAGCAGAAACCGGTTTGGCTCAGTGGGAAAGCGTCGATCTGCGGACTGAAAGGTCCCGAGTTCTATTCCGGTCAAGGGCATGTTCCTTGGTTGCGGGCGCATCCCTGGTGGGGGGTGTGCAGGAGGCAGCTGGTCGATGTTTCTCTCTCATCGATGTTTCTAGCTCTCTGTCTCTCTCCCTTCCTCTCTGTAAAAAATCAATAAAATATATTAAAAAAAATGAATGGAGTCTGACTTACTATTGTGTCCAACCAATAGTAATCTTTTATTCTCTTGGTACTTTTTAAAAACCTGTGTCAACATCTACAGGAATGACTTAACAAATGCTCCATATACATGTAGTAGCCATTTTGGTGTTCACTGATTTTATGAATGATTGTTGCAGGTTCCTACAGGGGTTTGGAAATAGCTCACGTACGGAGAAGGGAGTTTCTAGGTGACCTCAGATCAGTATCAGTGCTGTTCACTCCAGTAACACTGACCCAACTCCCCTCCCCTCTGACAGCTCTGTCCTTTGTATCTCTGAGTCTGTTTCTGTTCTATTTGTTTATTTTGTTCATTAGATAGGATGACTTTTCTGTTCTTGTTCCAATATCCCTCACCAAACTCCAATTGGGCTGGGTGCCCTTCTTAAAAGCTCTGTCCTTTTTTTTTTTTTTTTTTTTAAATGTTGCCCCTATACTTAACTCCTTTTAAAGTATGACCTCTCATACTTAAAAAAAAACAAAACAGACTTTCCTAGGTCCAAAGAATCACATTTAATAGGGTATGTTAGTTCTAGAGTTCTAGGAGCTCATGTTAGTTCTAAAAGCTTAACATAGTACCAAAACCACATCTTTTTAATAATCTTGGACCTTGACAGAAGGTAAGAATTTTATTAGGATTTTTCAGACACGTCCTTCCACTCACTATGATGAGTTGTTTATGTATCCTTAAGTGGTTCTTAACTATCCTCTTAGCTGTTGGGCTTTGAGTAGATTGAATGTATTGATTTTTATACTGAGTACAGCTCTCAGCTCTCAGGTTTAGTCCTCTTTCTCACCTTTGGGATCCTGGTGGCACAGTGCCTGCTGTGATTCTGTCTGACTGCCTCAGCTTTGATTCTGTTCATTCATTTCTCTCATTCTGCCTTTTCTGTCACAGGGTTAGGCTTGCGGTAATGAAGAAGTGCTTGTCCTTAGCCAGAGTTGATGTAAGTTAAAAGATGTTGTAAGCAGTAAACAAACAGCAAACAACCATGCAGATGGTAGTTATCATTATGATCTTTTTGAGCTCAAGGTTTATATTTCTGTTTGCATTTTTAAGGTTTTAGGTCAGAGTTTTAAAATTAGGGCCAAGACCTTGGAGCCAGTTGCTAGGGTGTTTGTAGAAACAACTGGTGCATGTAGTGGATCAACTGTAAGAAGTGTGCATGTGTACTGTTTGTGCTCATCCACTCATCCATTAAAAACCTGTAAGTGTGTACTGTGTTTAAAGACATGTTTTGGGCAGCTTGAGGTGCTTGTTTTCATAAGGGGGGAAGGGAGCGGAGATATTGGGAGCTCTACAGTAGTCACAATTTGAAACGATAGAAATAAACTCTTTAGAGAGGTTCTAGATTATCCCTGAAGTTCTTTGTCCACACAACATGTAACCGTGAAACCCAACATGTCAAAATCCCAAGCTGAGCTTGCAACGAGAGAGGCTGGAAGACCCAGAATCCCACCAGCTCAGCACTCATTGTTGCTTTTGTAAGATTTCCCTTGGAACCCCCTACGTGTCTTACAACCCAATTGGAAAACCCCTCCTCTAGACTATGGCAAAATTTTTAAAAAATGTGATTTTTTTTTTAGCCCAGCTGGTGTGGCTCAGTGGTTGAGCAGAGACTCTTGAAACAGGACGTCATAGTTTCATTCCTGGTCAGGGCACGTGCCTGGGTTGTGGGCTCGATTTCCATTAGGGGGCATGCAGGAAATAGGTAATCTATGATTCTCTCTCATCATTGATGGTTTTATCTCTCTCTCCCTTTTCCCTGCCTCTCTCTGAAATCAATAAAAACATATAAAAATGTGATTCCTTAGCCTTTCCCATCATAAAAATTGAAAATTTTTTTCTCTAATGAGTTTCCTCTTTTTAAAAAATACAAAGTATTATTGATAGCTTAGTTAAAGTTTTAAATTGCCAAACCTTTGTATATCTTTCTTATGAAGACTGATTTACAGAAATAATCACTGAAAAATATTAGTTGATGGTAATATTAATAGATTTTCAAGGAATTAAATCTTATTTGGCATATCCACTGATGAATTGCTTTATAGACATAGAAGTTTGACCTCGTGTGCACTTCTAGAAAAATTATGAAGGCTGATGATATATGTCCTGAGCCTGTGGGTTACAAATATAGGGAGGGGCAAAAGTAGGCAATGATTGAGAATGTGTGAAACATGGAGCTTATTCTTGAATTATCATGTATATACTAATTATTATATTATTCATTATTATTAACCTTCTTTTGCCCACTTCTATATTAGTGAAGTGGTCGGAATGCTTCAGTAAAAGTAAAGGAATCAAAGGGCAGATCTATCTCTATTGTTCGGGTTTTTAAGAAACTATACATTAAGGTATTCTTTTTATACTTAAAAATAAAAAAAGTTATTACTACTGCATTATTATTTTATTGCATTTATAATACAAATTTAAAAAATTTTATTGTACTTTTTAGTAACTAATAATTTAATACTTTTTTTAAATCTTCCCTTACTTTTTCATCCTTTTTGTTTGTTTGTTTCATGTTGTTTTACCCAAACTGAAGATGCCTATATTTTGAACAGGTTGAATTTGTGGTTTTGGCTGTAATTATCATGTCACAATCTATTTTTTGATTTTTAATCTTATTATATCTTTCTTTCTGCAGACTGGTGAATTTTCAGCTCGCTTCCTTTTGAAGTTGCCAGTGGATTTCAGTAATATTCCCACATACCTTCTCAAGGTAAAATTATGTAGTTGTCAATATGAGACTATAAATGAACTTTTAAAGTAATTATATTACTCTGAATATGTATGTGATTGATTTACCAGCATTTGTTCGGATGATTAATTCTATTAAAATACTAGAGGCCTGGTGCATGAATTTGTGCATGGGTGGGATTTGGTCAGCCAGCCATGATGGGGGCCCATCAGGCCAGGCCAGCCGTGAATGGTGACTTGCTGGCCCCGCTCCCAATTGGGGTGTTGGGGGCCAATTGGGGACCAGATCAGGCTGGTTGGCTGTTGCAGTTTGCGCCATAGCCACCGATTGTTCCAGTTGTTTTGGTTGTTCCATTGTTCTAGTCGCTGATCTTTTATATATCGATTAGCTGCATGAAGATCCATTAAGTTCCATTGTTACCTAAAAGCTAAAAGAGTAGGCCTAAAAATAATTTTGTAATGATGTTTAATTATAAGATAAAGTTAGTATAAGTAAATTAAACTTTGGAAAAAAATACCCCTTTATAGTCAATAACCTTCTTGGCATGAAAGATCTGTTAGAAGTTGTCTGATATGCATTCCGTCTTTAAGTCAGATTGCATACTAACTATGCCTTGCTGAATGGCATTTTATTTTCTGTACTTTATATTAGCAGTTGATCTCAGGCACCTCATAGTTGGCCCGACCTGAAGAGAACAAGAATCAAATTAGGCCAGTATACATGGCATTCTTTATTTTTATTTTTAAAAATATTTAGTATATTTTTATTGCTTTCAGAGAGGAAGGGAGAGGGAGATAGAGACATCAATGATGAGAGCAAATCATTGGTTGGCTGCCTCCCGCACACCCTCTACTGGGGATTGAACCCACAACCTGGGCATGTGCCCTGACCAGGAATAAACTATGACCTCCTGGTTCATAGGTCAATGTTCAACCATTAAACCACACTGGCCGGGCCATGATATTCTTTAAAAATAATGCAGGCAAGGTGTGGCTTGGGGAGGGATCTGCAGATGCTTTGCAGAGAAAGGTAGAATGCAAGTGGCTAGGTTGTGGTTAGGGAGAAAGAAACTAAATGGACCAGGGAGCAAGTTCTGATCTGGAAGCCTAAGACCAAGACCTAGGTTCATCACTAGATGCAGGTTTTGGTTGTGACTGCCCTCAGTTCCATATTTCAACCTGGGGCTATATAGCTTTAGTCTAATGTACGAAAAATCTCTACCTTCCTAATTTGATGTTGTTCAAAGGGTTAGCAGTATTTATAACAGTTTAAAGAGAAGACAGAGTCCTATACAAGTTTTCCTGCATACTGTAGTAAGTAAATAATATTAGACATTAATCTTGATTATGATTGGAAGTGTGGTCTTGTGGAATATAAATTATAGGCAATAGAAAAGATTAAGGAACACTTTTTTAGTTTTCATGTTTCATTAAGTAAAGCATTGGATTTTTGTGCTTCATTACAATTTCATTTTTAGTTTCTAGAAGGCTAGTTTTCTACTCTATATCCAGGAGTTGTGAAGTCCAAGTGAGAATGGAAGTGAGCGATTTACATTAGTTTCTCCTCACTCCTGTTATAGGAAATATATGTATTGGAGCTGTGATTACTAAGCATAACTAATTCAGTTTCAGCACTTACTGTGCTCCATTAGAATAGCAAGCAGTTCCTTGGAAACTCTTAGATTACAGACTCATTGACCTCCATATATTCCAGTTAAAACTCTATTTCAGACTATTTAAAACCAGATGCAGTAATTTAGGAAAGTACCTTATTTTTGTACTCATTTTACTCCACAATTTACAATTATAGTATCTTTGTTTGATTTTTGGGGCCTTACCAGTTTGATTGGTTGTCTTGTTTTTTTGGTTTTTTGTTTTTTTTTCTTTAAATATATTTTTATTGATTTTTTACAGAAAGGAAGAGAGAGGGATAGAGAGTTAAAAACATCGATGAGAGAGAATCATTGATCACCTGCTTCTTGCACATCCCCCACTGGGGATGTGCCCACAACCAAGGTACATGCCCTTGACCAGAATTGAACCTGGGACCTTTCAGTCCGCAGGCCTATGCTCTATCTACTGAGCCAAACCAGTTTCGGCATGATTGTCTTGTTTATTTGAACTTGATGTTGCCTCTGCTCCTGTTTTTGAAGGTCAAAGGGGGAAAAAATGTTCCTTGAATCATAATCTATCTTAAATTTTTCTTTTCAAAATCAAATTTTCCCATTTTCTTTTCCGAGACTTCTAAATTTATATTATAATGTCCTTGCTTTTTTTAAAAAAAATATATATATATTTTATTGATTTTTCGCAGAGAGGAAGGGAGAGAGATAGAGAGCTAGAAATGTCAATGAGAGAGAAACATCGACTAGCTGCCTCTTGCACACCCCCCACCGGGGATGTGCCCGCAACCAACGTACATGCTCCTGACCAGAATCGAACCTGGGACCTTTCAGTCTGCAGACCGACGCTCTACCGCTGAGCCAAACCGGTTTCGGCTGCCCTTGCTCCCCCCTCCCCCCCAATCAAATAGGAGAAAAGTGGAATCTGTTTGGCAAATTAGAAGGCTTTTCTCCTTCCCCAAATAAAAGTACTATGAAATGATTTTCTCCTGTAGGAGAAATGGGTACATTGGCATGAAAGATCTATTAAATCTGAGGTATTAAATCAGGCATGCACTGATGTCCTTCTGGATCTTTGTTCATGCAAAGAGAGTAAAACAACAAGTACCAAAAAAGAAATTTTTGAATAACACAAAACAATAACAAAAAACAAAACAAAACAAATACCTATTTAAATCTATACAATTTTATTAACAAATGTCACCCCAATAAATTCAATTTTAAAATATTAAAAAAAATTACAAGCTCTTGGTGATTTTTGTCATCATGTTTTAATAATCCCAATACAATAAAAACAACAATAACAACAACAACAACCACCACCACCACCACCACTACCAATTGGCATTCCAGAATGTCTATTGAGGGTTTTAAGATCTAAGTTCCTGAAGTTGTTGAATCATAACCTTGGAATATTTGGCTGTACTCTTAAAAATGAAGTTTGCATTAGAAATTGCTTTACATATTATTTGCATTTGGATGCTTCTAATTTTTAATTACTAGACTTTTGACTGATAGTCTTAAGTCCTAAAATAAACTCTTCAAATTTCTAGGGTTAGGATACTCTTTACCGGCATCAGTGTAGTTTTACCTTGATATCCCAAATATGATAAATGAAAGGTTAAGTAGACTTCTAATATTGAGATAGCATGGAGTTTGACTACACACCCTACTGATTTGCTATAGTTAAATTTTACCGCACTGTGAAAGCCATCATAAGTTTATATGTCCAAATGTATCTATTTTACCCACTAATAGACAAAATGAGTTGTAGAAATGGGATGGAAACTTAAAAAACTGAATCAATCAAGTGAAATTGTTAAGAAACAACTAAAGTGATAGCATACTGGTCAAAGTAATCCTGGCTTTTCAATAAATAATTTTAATTCATGATACACTTGAAGTATATAATCTAATTGATGCTCTGTCTTTGAAAAGCTTAAAGGAAATGTTTCTGGGGAAAAAAACCACTTCAGGTGGTCCTATCATTCTTTTATATAGTTAGGGCCAATAGGTCATGGCATGAGTTAAACATGTGTATGACTTGTCACTGAAGATTGAGTATTAGTACATTTGCAGTTTTGAAATGTTTCATTCTTCTCAACTTCCACAGGAAGGAGGAGGGTTTGGCATTGTGTGTACCCAGAAGAGGAGAATTAGGCAAATTTATCTCCTTAGAATTTCTTTTTGGATGAATTCTTGCATTGTCCTTTATTATCGGAACTGTTTGAAAGTTCATTTAGTTTTATACAGTTGCTATGAAGGAAACTGATAATTTCCCCCAAACATTCTCTTTCTTTAAAATCCAGCAAGCTTTTATTGTGACATGTATTGATAGTTGTTTCTCAGCGAGCATAAGATAGCAGACAGTAAAAGCACCCTGATCCTGATAAATGAGTATAAATTCAAAAGCTGACCTCACAAAGATTTTTCTCTAAACCACAGATTAAATGATGCTTCAAAATTTGAGACCGTTTGGTTGACGGAATTTTTTGGATCCATAAAGTTACATTTAATAAGTAGCTTTTAGAAATAAAGACTGCTTTAACTTATTCTTATGAAATATGGTATCAAAGCAAAACAGTTGTCTGTTTCTTGAGAGACCATAAAGGATTCACAGATAATCCTCATCTTATCTTAAAGGAAATAGTTTCTCTCTAACGAAATAGGAGTGGGCATATTTTTATACAAATAGGAATATGTACCTGGAAGAGAGTGCCATAAATGTAGGGTACTGTTTATTCCTGCAGTAAGTCTGATTTATCATGACTAAATTTGAGCCAAAATTTGCATTTGAGACTTAATCACAAAGGAAGTTTTGAGATTGTTTAAAAACTTATTCTGCAGGAAAAAAACTTGTTCTAACATTCTTTCATGAAGAAGGGGACCCATGACTGCCCTCAATTTATTTTATTTTTAAAAAATGTTTTTTTATTGATTTTTAAAGAGAGAGGTAGGGAGTAGGCTAGAGAAAAATAGCCTTGATTGATTGGTTGACTGCCTCCTGCAGCTCTCCCCAGGCCCTCCCTCTCTCCCCCGTGGATTGAACCCACAACCATGTGCCCTGATGGGGAATTGAACCAGTGACCTCTCCTTTTCAACACTCTACTGCTGAGCCACACCAGCCAGGCTGCTCTTTTCTATTGTTCTTGTTCTCCCTCCTTTCTCTAGAGAGAGAAGCAGGGCTTGGAGGAAAATACACTCCAGATCAGAGTACCTGGACATCTTCTCTAAAGGGCAAGATTGTAAAATTTTAGGCTTGCAGGCCAGATGGTCTCTGTCACAACTATTCAGCTCTGCTGTCATAGCATGAAAGCAGCCATACACTGTATTTAAATGAACCCGTGTGGCTGGGTTCCAATAAAACTTTATTTTCACAAACAGGCACTGGGCTGGATTT